TGGATTTTAACCACTTAGGAAACGATTGCAGTAAATATAAGTTTGTCGACTTGGAAAGGAGATTCAATATTTCCACAATATCCGATTCAGAAGTAAATAATTGAGAAAAAATCTTAAACATTGATTCAGAATCTATAGTGTTCCATGTTGATCCACTATAACGCATGAGTTTTTTAAACTCTTTGTGAAAAGCTGAGGCACATTCAACTTGAAGATCTTCAGAAATGGATTCAAAATAAGACTCTAATTTACTTGGATTATTGGAGTCAAGATTTTTACAAATAATTTCGCCCAAGAATTCTCTGATTTCTTGATCCATATTTTCTTTTCCAATAATTTCTTTTACAATAAAATCGCATGATTCCATGTCAAAAAAAGAAATATTGATGATAGCCTGCAATAATAACAATAAATTTGCCATATTAACGTTATTAACGGTAATAACTAAACAATTAAGTATATTATTATGATTATTATTACCTTTATGACCTTCACATAAGTCAACGGTTTGTCAATTTTATTAATTCTATTAATATGTGGTTTCACATCCGTTTTGAGTAAGTTATAAAAACGTTGTCTCTCATCTCTACTCTTGTATTCATGCTTTTTGATATGAGATATGAAGTTGTAATCTTGATCAAAAATATGTGCAACAGCAAACATTTTCATCCAATCAAATTATTACGTTTTGATGAATTATGTCGGACCAAGGCTGAAATCGTATTAGGAAACAATTTCTTGGCTTCAGAAGGTAAAAGGTCATCATCAGATTTAATTTCATATAATGTCTGCAATAAATCTGTTGAAGAAAATGTTTCGGATAACTTTATAAGATTTTTTGTTTTTCGTTGAGCAATATCGATATGATAGGCCAGCATGACGCAGATAAAGAGCTTTTGACATTTATTTGGTGAATTTGAAAGATGAGCATAAATTGAATCCATCTCTATTGCATTAACGGTCTGTTGATATTTTACAATAGAGTGAAATTCCCTAATTTTATTTTGGAAATTTTCTAATGTCACCGACTCATAGATCACATTAACAAATCTAAAATCATAATCAAGAATGGGGCTATAAAGCTTTTCAGAATGGTTTGTTTTCCATATATCATATTGGTTATCCGTGTTCGCTAATTTACGATCATCCTTTTCTGACATATGGGCTGATCGGGCTCATTTGAGTGATATTTGAGAGGGATCTTCAACAAGCTGTACCAATCAGATCTATTGA